GGGGGACATGGAACTGTTAAGTGAAAGCGAAGGGGTTGTCAGCTGTCCACACGTGGGAATTGGGCCCCAAAAAACGCATGCTAAAATGCAAAGGCTCATGGGTAGACACATGTTAGCAACACACTATAGCCGTTTGCCGCATGCACAGATGACGACAACTATGACTTTAACGTGAGAGACATATACTGTGCACTTATACATGAAACACATGTAACTGAACACATAATTGCTTTTAGAATAATAATAATAATAATAATACGCACTATTAAAACAGATATTAGATTACATTAAATGATGATATTACACATAATTACATTTTTTTGGTTTTTGCACAAGTCAAACTAGTGTTGCTTCTTTATATAATGACAATCCAAAGGTTTGACACCATGATTAGTATATTCATTCATATCATAGAGTTTGTAGACGATATTGTGTCTGGGATAATGGCTCCTTGTTGGATGAAGACGATATGTGCTCTCATTCCCATCTACTGTATACTTATCTCAAATAGTAGCGGATTTTCCTTGGAATGACTGGCTTTTAAATAGTAGTTGAGCTAAATGTATTGCCATGTTAGTATGAGTACAAATATTGAATAATTTTACTAGTAGATGTTTTTAGAGAGACTTAGTACCAACACAGGAGCAACTTCCAATTTTTTCTAAAACAATATACATTATTTGTGATATAATTGTTAATTCCAGCGATGTCATGTCAGCATTGTCATTGTTTCCATAAACTATATTACGATTGATGCGACTGATACACAAAACATTTTAGCATCTATCATATCATTTATCATCATCTACTCACTTCCCCCAGACACTACCTGAAAGATGAGTGCAAAATGAAAACATACTAAAAAAGGCTTTGTATATATAGAGGTTAATCAAGATCCACCCGATAACCCACACCAGCAATGGTAATTTATCATTGAGTTGAGCAGGGAGTCATTACAACCTCATTTGTAAAGTAACACTGTAACGTACATAATGTTGTTCACACCAGTATAACCTTGTTATAAGCAACACTTTAAGTGAACCATATTTAATGTCTTTAGAAATTATTCATAATTTATTACAAGAACCAAGTTTAAAGGAAATTTATATAATAATGTATAATCAATCTTTTTATATTCTTCATTTCAGCCCAGCTTAACACCCTTGCAGTTTGCCATTGAAAAAAATAAATCAGTTGCTGTGGAATACTTATTAAAAGAAGGAGCTGTAATTTCAGTCGAGGTAATTTAAAAAAAGATAAAAAGTAAAGGTTAAACTGAAAACAATATTATAATAAAAATAACATTTACATTCTTCTTTCTATTTCAGAGCATACCAACAAAACTATCGACTGCTCTGTTTAATGTCTTCTATCGACATGCTATTAAAAATAATTTGGAAGATATTCTTACAAAAATTGGTAGCCCAAAGCAATCAGACAACGAAGTATGTAACATTAGATGTTTTCCAACTACTTATATGTACAATAAATTATTTTCAATTTTGTTTGAAACTTGTATTGCTATTACCTGCTTTTTAATGAAGAAAAAAACAGTAAGAAATATTAGAGTACATGTATGTGTGGTTGCCAACTTATGTCTCTATTATTTGCAGAGTGTACCGGAGAATGAGGCCCAAAGTCGAATTGATGAACCTAAAAGAAAAGTAAGTAAGTTGTATACTCATGAATGTGTATGTTATTTTTTGAATGCCAAATGTTTTTACATTTATTATAAATAATTATTACAGAAAACTAAAAAGACGTTGGATGTGATGCTTTGTTCAGCTGTAAATAAGGGTGATGCTGCCGAGGTTAAACGTTTGTTGGAGCAGGGTGCAAGTTGTAATTGCAAAGATGAAGTAAGTTTCATCAACCTATAAGTTGGAACACAGGTACACGGACAGACTAATGGTGGGCATACAGATACACTGATGAACCAACACGATCCGCCCATGTTTGAATTAAATGAACGACATACACACATGTACAATACCATATGACAGTACTTGACAAACCAACTAACGTGTATATTAAATCAACATAGACAATAAGAAACTGACATATCTGAACGTAACAATATGAA